TAAGGGACTAAAAATGAAAAAAAAAAAAAAGAATAGACCGGAAAAAAAAAAAGGAAGTTGTGGGAAGCACTTTCAACCAAAACGCCACCGCTTTTGTTGAAAGTGCTTCAACAGTGAAGCATTTTCTAATTTCTATTATATAAATATTGATATAGATATAAATTAATTAAACTTTTTCTTAACATATTATTTTAATTTTTTCAATTGAAAAAAATATATATATACAGTGTTAATCAGTTTTAGTAATGAAAAATACAGAAATTCATTTACACAAACAATCGATAAAAAAAGGCCCTATGCAGTGCTTTTACCCCAAAATTCAATCTCGCATCTCCCCTAGTCTCTCTCCTCCAACGGCTACATTTCCCCTTTCTCTCTCGCTCATTTGTCTTCTTTTCCATTTCCAATCCAAAACCCTCTCAATCTCTCTCTCTCCCTCCTTCGTTTCATCTCTCTTTCTCTCCCTATATTTCGTAGCCATGAGGCACTTCATGCAGCCGAGAAACGCGGTCTTGAGGGATACGACGATAGAATCTCCGGCCTTGCCCAACCCTAGCACAGCCAAGCCCGTCGCGCAAGCAGAGGGGCTCCAAGGAGAACGCTCCGCCATCGAATCCGAACTTGTTGCCCCTGATTCTGGAGCAGTCGCCGGCAATCTCCGCCGCCAAGTTGAAGAGCCCGCTCCTGCCACAACTGCCGTCGTCGAACCCTTTTAAGAGAAATCTAAGCACGGAGACGGTTCCGGAAACTTCGTTATTGGAACCTGTGAATCTGGTGTCCAAAATCTGCGGAGACAGAGGGCCCAAAATCTCAGGTTCTGCTTGGGCAAAATAGGAGCGAACTTTACATTTCCTCTGAAAATGCCCGATTGGTCCGATTGGTCGGCAAACGCAGGCGATTCCTTCCCAACCGCGAAACTCTTCTATCTTCTTCTCCGATCCAGGCATTCTCACTTTCTTTCTCTTTGATTTCCGTTTCTCTTTCAAAAAATTTCCGTGGAAATCATTGTCAAGACTAGTTTTTCATCTCAATGAGAGCAATTTCTTTTTTGTTTTTTGGTTGCAGAGTTCGTTGAATCTGTGTACTGATAAAGATGGCAAAATCATGTCGACTCAGAGTTCAGAAGGATCTGCAATGGCGGTTTATGGTGAAAAGGATAAAGTTGAGAGTTTTGGAGGTAGAGAAGAGCATTCTGATGTGAGTGAGGAGGTAACTTGTCCCGTTTGTGGCAATAATGTGAGAGGGAATAACTTCACAATCAAATCTCGTCTAGGTATATTTACTCTGTCCTCAGTTCTAAGGATGTTTTTTCATTTCATTTATGGAAATTAGGAAGAATTATTTGTTCTACTAAGTTCAATTATTTGCTTATTGTTTTAGTGATTATTGGATTTTGAGGATAGTTACAGAAATCTCCTTTGTTCTTTTATGTTTATCCCAATTTATCAGAAACGTATATCCTCTCCCATGACTGTCAACAAGAATTGTGGGAAAGAGGTTTAACATGATTTGTAAAATTTAGGCGACAATTTTGACATGGTTCGTAAAATATTAAAGAGGATTTGTAAAATAATGGGAATATTATGTATGAAAGTAACCCTTATTAAAATTGAACTTGTTTGATAATTTTTACGATTTTCGTTTTCCCATCAACAAAAAGTGAAACAAAAAAGGGAGGGAGATATTTCACTTTTAACTCAGAAAACAAAAACTAAAAGGGGTATCAAAGAAGGTGTAGTTAGCAACTTATTTTATGAATTTTGTTTGCCTAGTATAGGTTTTTCTAGCTTAAATGACTTTTATTGTTGTTGTTGTTGTTTTCATGAGAAATATGCTATCTTATGTTGGTTTTCATCATAAGGACTCACTTTTTTTTCCCCATAGATACGTGTCTATCAAGAGGAAATAAACAGAAAGGAAAAAAATGAAGTGCATTTTTGAATCTGGAGAGTAAAATTGGGGTTTGATTTGAATTTGGTTGACTTTGAAATAGGGATTTTTTTTTTTCAATTCATTCAAATTGTATGCCTTCATTCTCCGAGGGCAAGCCACGGAATAGGAGGGAAACAAGGCAGTTTTGAATTCCTTCTTTTTTGTCTTGTGAGAATTTGAAAAGCCTTGACGTATTTGGTATTGTTTAGGATTTCATTGGTTGGAAAACCTAGAGAGTATTTGATTAGTTAAATAATAAGGAACCTTAGAGACACAAGTAAACCCATCAATCTCCCCAATGGGCTTTCCTTCTTCTGCTGATTCACCGTGTCTGACGGTCACATCAACATCAACTTTCACTATTGGGATTACTGTTGATTATTATTATTTTTTCAATTATTACAACAACACGACATGCTCAAGGAGAAACATTGTATTGCAAATGACAGAATTATTCGTTGCTCTTGGAAAATGACTCTAGAATTTTATCTTGATACATATAAAGGGGTAGGAAAAGTTGGCAAAAGGTGCTCATCTAAGTTAGGTTGGATTGCGCGCCACATGACCCTGCTCCAAGTCTAGGCTTAGAGGGATATTCCACAACCAAAAAAAGTGGCGATGGTCGCTAGACTCAAGGTAATAATATAGAACCACCTAATTTCTTTTGACAGAAAGTCTTGCTGAATTATAGTCCTATTTTGGATATTATTATTGTAGGATAAGTTTGAATGGAATGTGCCAGATCAAGAAAAAGAAGCCAAGATATTAGATTCTATTGATAGTCTGTTAAACAAGCAATGGAAAGATTGGAGGTGTCAGCTGCACAAATATTTCATAAAAAAGTGTGGACAATCCATAGGAAGTCAAGAAACACAAACACAAATAGGTTCTGGTGTAGGCAGATTGGGAATCCTTATGCAACTATTGGTCGACTGAAAAGTATAAAGTTATGTAAATATCTTCAGAGCATTTATACATTTTTGTATGTGATTTATAGGTTATGTAACAACTCCTTTTTAACGTTGCAGAAAAAATAAGCAACCATTTGCTTAATCATTTGCTTCTCACATGTTTGATAATGTATTTCATTTTTGATATGTTATGGTTGTGTTAAAATTTATATCATTAATAGAAAAAACAGAGCTCCCCATGATGGCTTATGTGATTTAAGTTGTGCTTTCACTTTAGTTTGTTTCACATATTCAACCAAGCTGATTTCACGCATGATGTGTATATGAGAAGTTATAAATCACATGCCAATCTATATATGCATACATACATCCAATTTAGTTTATAGAGAATAATGTATAAAATTACTTTTGATGATCCTTTAGGTAGTTGTTATGATCTGCTAATGCCATTTAGTCACACACATATTCTTGACTCTTATTTGGCCTTAACAAAAGAAATATGGATGAAAATGAGATTTCCTAGTGGACAAAATCTTGTGATTGTGCTTTGTGATGGGAGTTTACCAACTCTTTGGACCCATATAAATGCTTTTCTCCTATTCATTTATTAATAAAAAAAATGGGTTGGTATGACAGAATTTTGTGACTAGAATGAGTAGATTGATATCCTATTTTATGTTTAATGCAATTGTTTAGTTTTTTCGATATCAATTAAAAGAATTTAATTATATGCAGTACTTTAAAGCAAAGACGACGTTTTTATCTAGGAATCAGACATTTTAATACTCGCGGTAAAACTCAATCTCTACTGACCATTTTTACAGCATTTTTTATCTAAGAATCAAACATTTTAATGCTTGTGGTAAAACTCAATCTCTGATGACCATTTTTACAGCATTCTTTGGGACATGTTATGCAGTGGTGCTCCTTGAGAAAAGGAAGTATTTCGCTTAGTGCTTTGGCTCCATTTGGTGGTTTTACTTTCATGACTCTGAATTATTAGGGATAACACATATCACTACCTCTGATATTAAGATTGTGTTATTTTGCAGCAAAAAGCAAAGAAGCTTGATAATTCTAGTGGACTAATTAAGCTCTATCATGATATGTGTCATCACAAGACTAAGGGTTGGACTGGGACAGTACTGAGGAGAACTATTATGCAAGTTTTTATTTATTTATTTATTTATTTATTTGGGTTTCTTTATAATTTAGTATTCATTAGTTTTTCTTTTCACTTTTTCACTTTCAATTGACAGCACAAGATGATAGATTTGAAAACTCAAACTGCCCATTCAAGTGATGCAGCTAAAGGAAATACCTCTACACAGAAAAATATATAATGAATAATGCCTTTGGCACATTATTGGGAAACATATGGGGAGCGGGCGAAGAACAAATGCTTGAGACCTTCAAGACTCTGCAGATGTAGATCGATAACCTTAAGAACTTGGATGCACATTGAAAAATGGAGTTTGAAAGTCTTAAGAACTTTGTGAAGTCTATGTTCCCACTGTATGAACCTCCTTTTGGTGACTCGTCTCCTTTGGAATAGTGCTTTTATCTATACTTTACTCTTATTTTAGAACTTTCAGGTTTCTAGTACTTGATTTTAGAGGATGTTTATCTATCCTTATGAATGCTTTTGTCATGATTTTAGAGGAACTAATATTATGTTCGACATTTCAGATATCTTCTATCTTTGTTTGCCCTAATCTTAAATGCCTCTCATGCTCTTCTTTTGGCGAGTCACTACCTTATCTATCTCATAATTCTTTTGTCTCTTTTCTATTACTGGGTTTATTTTGTTGGTTTTGGGTGCTGATTAGGCTGAGTCATGAACATGCCTTAGCTCCTTCTACAGCACTTGAGGGTCCATTCAACCATGGTGAGTTTTTTTGTCTCTCTCTCTCTCTCTCTTACTTTATCAATTTAGAGATCTTACTCAATTAATCTTTAAATTATGTGAACTTTTTTCTGCCAGAATCTTACTATTTAGCAACTTAATATTGAAGGGAACATTGTACTAAAGATGTAAATAATGGTTATGGTTATTTTATGATAAATATCAGTTCTTTTTACTTACTGTTTGAGAACTAACTTCGTTCCTTTTGTGCTATTTTCTTTTTTGTTTTTGTTTTTGTTTTTGTTTTTTCTCTTCCTTCTAACGTTGTCTTTTTTTCCCCTTCTTTTCTCCTCTAGCTTTTTCCTCTTTCCTTTTGTTTCCCCTCTCTCTGCCTTTTGTTTGTTCTCTCCCTCTATGCATTTGGATGAACAAAGAGCCATCAATTCGGGCATGTGAGAGGGGACCATTATCAGAGTAATTGTTGTGTGGATGTGATTCTTGCCATAAAATTGGTGTTCTTTTCATGCAAAAAAAAAAAAAAAAACTTTTTTCTGGGATTTTTGATTTTACTAATCTTGAACTCCTTTTCCCTTTGATGCAGGTCAGAAAAAAGAATAGAAATTGACATAAGGAGAAGAAGAGGGCAATAACCACTCACACTCATCACCCATCTTCTGTTTTATTGGTTCTCGGTTTAGACTACTAAACCCAAACAATATAGATTCTCTGATGCTCAATGCTGCCAAATCACATGGGTATTTCCCTTGCATTGTAATCTTCCTTACTCTTGATGAATTGTTTAGTGTGTTCATTGGGCTGGATGAGGTTTTGCTTTTTTGGAGTTGGGTTTTTCATGATTGTTCTGATAATTCAATTGAATTTGATGTCTGTTTGCTTTTGGGGACATTGTTTGGTTTTCACCCATAATGTTCCCATTCTCAAAGGAAGAGTAGCTGTTTAGAAAGCCGAACAAATGCCTACTCTTTTTCTATCATGTTTAGTAGCTATCAGTAACAGCAGCTCTTGTCTACCAAAAGAAAAGCTAACTCTGATGAACTCGTGTTGCTTTGTTCTTTTGATTTTTGAAGTGGCGACGTATCGTACTGAGAATCACATAACAAGATCTTATTTCGGTTTTGTTCTTATGCACATATATTCTTTAAACTTATTTTCGACACCTTTTAATTATTGTGGATCTCTTTTTCGTAGGTTATGTAACGCCCTTTAGAATTAAACATGTTTAATTATGCTAAACTGTAGATTATTAGTGTGTCTAATTTGATTTTCATAATTAATTAAGGGACTTTAAGTCATTTTCAATATTTATAATTACACCCCAAAGATTTTTGGAAAACACACTTAAATTTAATACATTTTCCTTTTTTTCTTTTTTCTTTTTCTTTTTCCTTTTCTTTTCTTTTTCTTTTTCTTTTTTTTTCTTTTCTTTTCCCCCCATTTCCTTCCCGTGCGCCCAGCCCCCCCTCTCTCTCTTTCTTTCCTTTTCTTTTTTTTCTTCTTCTTCTTCTCTGGTTCTCCCACGCACAACCTCTCTCTCTCTCTCTCTCTTTCTCCATTTTCTTCCACCGCCGGCCACCTCTCTCTCCGGGTTTCCTCCCGCCAGCGTCCTCTCTCTCTCTCTTGCTCTCGGCAGTTTGGCCGAAAATCAAAAAAAAAAAAAAAAAAAACGAAAAACAGAAAAATTGAGGGAGACGAAGCTCGAGCAACTGATTTGAGGTAAAACCCTTTGAAACCCACTCTTTGATTCGGATTTTAAGCTTGAGAAAGTTTGATTTTGGTTAGATTTGAATAATTTTGAGTTAGGGTTCGAGTTTGAACAATTATTGTTGGAATTGAATGAAATTTGGGGATTTTTAGTTATTGGACTTGTTTAATTGATTAGAAACTGATTTTGATGGATTCTGGAGAATATATATTGAAATTGGATTTGAATTGCAGGTTTGGCATTTTTCCTATTTATGCCGGCATGCTGCCGAAATTTCTCTAGAAACTTGTTTTTAAACTGAAATTAAATAGGAAAAACCAAACCTATGAATTGGATTCTAATTTTTAAAGAACCCCCAAACTGAATTATAAAATCATTGTGAAAATTGGATTTGAGTCAAGGCACACTAATAGGAAACAATTAAACATGATTGAACTTAATTCGTTTTAGGAATGAGAAATACTTCCTAAGATATTGCTTTTGTGATAAAGCTAGTAGAGAAGGTCAAGTATTAAGGCTTTAAGGAAAGCGAAGGCTAGGAGAACTGAAGGCTAGCCCAGGTTTGATATCCAACAGGTAGGATATTCTTGTCCATATCCTTGTTAGCCTCATTTTAAATTATTTTGGCCAATGAAAATGTTTTGGAACAAAACATGTTTAAAGAAAATGATTTTAAAGAAATAACATGAGAATGCTATTAAGTTTTTCCAATGATTTTGGAAATGAGATTTCAAAGCGTATCAATTCTTAAAATGAAATATTTTTAGAAATGATACAATGCATGGTGGCCTTAGAGATCGGGATGTGGGAATCGCATCCTTGGGGGGCAGGTCCCGAAATCCGTACGGATCTGCTTCTTGTTTAGTGGAATGATGGCTCTGCACTTTTTTTTAGACGGACATTTTTACCGCTTCTTGTTTAGTGGTATGATGAGCTGCACACTTTCATTATACAGATATTTCTATTGTGAGTATTTCCTTTTCTAAAAAGGGATGATCGGTTCTGGATGTATATCTTCGGACCGTGAGTACCTTTATTTTAAATGCTTTATAAAATCTATATCCTACTGGGCCTTTCGCTCACCTTTTTCTGTTTTTAAATGTATTAAACCCCTCCAGGCGACGCGAGGAGTGGTGCGGAATAGGTAGCTATTACCGGTGGTGTGGACTTGATCTCGGGAAGCAAAGAGTTGTAACCCTTCTATCTTTTATTTCAAGGCATGTATAAGAGATTATGGTTTGTAAACTTAAATGTTGCTAGATTGTGGTTGATGTCACATTTACTTATGTTTATATTCATGCATGCTAAACCCCTGTGGGAATTCCTGACATGATACCAGTAATGTGGTTTTAAAACTGGTTTGGTTGAAAATTCCACCACCGTTCTTGAAATTAAATTTCTCTTGAATGCAGGGGCTCGTTTGGAAATACCTGAATGTTTTAGATTTGAAAGGAATTAAATTATTTTGCTAATCACTCTCTCTCAAACAGGTTTAAGTTTCTAAACGAGCCTCCACGTCACCAACCCCGGTTTAGGGGCGTGACAGGTTATGTATGGATACTAAAAGCGTACAACTATGGTTTTGATTTTCTTGATTTTGAATTTGTTAGTTTCTATCTACTTGTTTTTTTTAGCAGCCTCTTTACTTCGTTTCTCCTAGTCGTTTGAATTATTTTCATTATTCTTGTTGTAGGTTTAATTTTGATTTAGGGTCTCAATTTAGCGTAGCTTTGTGTTTTTTTTTCTTATTTTTGAATGTCGAGCTATCGTAGTTAGGATCACAGAACTCAATCTTATTTCGGATTTGTTCCTATGTTCTTATGTTCTTTAAACTTAACAAATTTATAAGAGAGTGATATAGTTCAAATGTAGAGAAAATGAAAGAAATAAAAAAACATCGGGGAGTGTTGGGGGGGTAAGAGACTACAGTAAAGTGGATAATGAATGCAAAAAGAAATAAAAGAAAAAATAAAGCACTGAAAAAGAAGAAGAAAAAAGAAAAAAAAGGTAAAATATTATTTGTAGAATACAATGGTAGATAAGTGGAATTAAAAAATGAATAGTATATGTAAAACACAATAAAAGATGAAATTAAAAAGAAATAAAAAATTTTGGCGGTTTTAGAGTAGCAAACTATAGTAAACAAATAGAGCCAAAAAAAGGGGAAAAAAGTAATGCAATAGAAAGAAAGGAAAGAAAAGAAAGAATAGAAAAAAAAGGTATAAAAAAATCAAAACCGCATGTTTTGGACTTCCAAAATGCTATAGAGCACTCTTTTCTATTCTTCTTTATAAAGTACATATAGGGCAAGTTTTGCATTGCTGTGCTGTTGAAAATTTTTGTAATTGTTGTGCTCTTAGTAATAAGTTGTTGTGACCAGAAGCATATAAGTGTTTGGTAAATATATTTACAAAAGTGTTGTAAGTACCAGAAACAGAAATTTAGGTGTTTGGTAAATTGCATATAAAGTTGTTGAAATGTATAATGACAAAAGTATACATACTTTTTCACACATTTTGTTAGTTAGTTTTATTTCTATTTTTATGGTCAATATTCATAATATAAAAAATATATTTTAAATTTTATT